TATAATTATTATATTATTTATTCTAATAGAATAGTTTTTATTATAATACAATTATTAAAAAAATAATTCCCAGATTCAAAATGTGATTGATTAAGATTGATTAATCTCTGTTAGTATTCACACGGATATTACACACAAATAATTACATGATCTCTCGTCATGTCCCTGACTGACCACAAATGGAATAAGGGGATATTAAATGTAACATGAAATGACATGGCAGTGACCTCGGGCCACCTGATGCAGATGATAGTATATTCATACGCTGTCCTGTACCTTTACAGTTAGAAAATTTCTACCTCATCTGTATTTAACAAAATTACTTGCAAACCGAACTGCCTATGCTTGCAATTATGGCAATATTCTCCACTGTAATAAAACAGTAGTAGAGCTCTCATCCAGTGAAATAATGTATCTGGGTAAAAAGTCCAAAGCTGTCGCTGAGTTGTGGATATATCTGACTTTGCGAGACACCCCAAACACTGGCACACACTAGTTACTAATTTTCTTTTTGTTCAAATGATTTTGAAGGACCGTTTTCCCAGAAGTTTTCCTAAATACACTGTGACTTGCACTGCTGGCGTGAACTCAGCAGGACCCTTGAGCTGTAAAGGTCAATAAAAAGATATGACTTTGCCAAAAGTGCTATTTTAAAACATTAAAAACCTGGGAAGGATTGGAAAAAAAAACCCCATCCCACATAATAGTGCGGTCACTGGCTGGATGGGTGGAACTGTAACGCCGCCAGTCCGGCCTCCCAGGGCAGGGAGTCGGGCTGCAGCACAGGGACGATACTGGTGAAGCTATGGGAAGATGCTGCCTCCCAGTCACCGGTTATGTTGGCCTTGTAAAAGCAGGGAGGGAAAGTCAGCAGCTCAGCGTCACAATTTAGGTAGCAGCACTGGCAGAGGTTGACGCAGGGAGTCATAAGGGCTGTTATTTCAAATTGCAGAGCCTGCCCTAAATTCCTTGCATGTTACTGAAATGTCTTGGGTTTTAATTGCAAGCGGTGGAACTGAGAGATTTCTTTTCATCTGGGTCAGCTACCTTGTGAATGTAAAAATTCCTGCTAACGCCTGCAGGAGGTGTGACGGGGGTCAACAGGGATCCGTTATTTCTCAGGTTTTATTTCAGCTGAAAGATGCCCTTGAGAGCTGCACTTTGGCAAAAGCCTCCAGCCCAGCCAATATATGGCGGTGGCAACAGTAGCGAAGAGTAACCCTTGTTACGTTACCCTTGACCTTGCCAGATTTAGCTGCTGGTACCTTCAGGCTCCAGGTGTCCTTCCTCGTGCTTTTGGCTTCACCTCTCCAGAAACCGGTTGTGTCAGAACGATTTAAAATTCAAACACATAGCTGTGTGAAAGGAAACTTCTCTGTTTACCTCGGGGGGTTTTGCTCCGCTTTGCCCCTGGGCTGGAGCGATTAGTGCTCCGTAGTGCCAGCCAGGTCCCAGCCCCTCACAGGGTGGCAGTTCCCTGCGCTCCTCCCTCGGGCTTCTCCCGTAGTTTTGGGTCTGGCCTCTGGCCTCAGCACTCCCAGCCCAGTGCTACGGAGCCGCTGGTACCTTCAGCTGGTGCTGTAACTTTGAGCATTATGGTTGCTGTCAGAGATATGACATGCCATGACCCAGCTCCAGGTAACCCTTAACTTTTGGAAAGCAATTTCCAAAAGTTGATCACAGGATGCTGCAAACAGCCGGCAGCAACCTGGCATGTGCTGTGCCATATAGAGACTGCAGACAGTCCTGGAAAGACTGGGAGGCTGCGTGAGGATCTGTGAGCTGGGACAAGGCATGTATTACGGATTTGACTGTGCTGTGGTCCGTCTCAGCTGGTTAACCTCCTAACTTGTTACGGACACATCTGCTATGGAGCTATGAGGAACACTGCTGTGCTTCAGGCTGTAAAGCTTGAAAAGCAAGCAAGTCCTTTGCCGGGTGTGTGCATCCCTGTGGGAGAGCTCCCTGCCGGCTACAGCACCTCCTGGGCTGACCTGCTGTAGCAGGGATGTCTTTCTGCTTTCGACTTTGTTGGTTTGAGTCCCCTCCCAGACAAGCAAATGGCCAATTATAACTGGAGATGGATCAAATGCAACCCGTTTCAGCTGCCAGTGCATCTAGGATTTATGCATAAACACACAGCCTGGCTGGGCAGAAAGGTAAAAGCTGGGTGCAAAGGGGAATTGGCAGATGAAGGTAAAAAGCGTAATGCTTGAAATGAACTTTACTCAGTATGCTAAAAGGCATGTTAAAATGCTTCTTTAAATTTTGTAAATCTTGGGAGGAAAGCTCAGAAGAGCTGGGTTTGAGGTGATGTGTACTCATCTCAGTTGTTTTCTGCATCAGTCATTTGGCAAGTGGATGTCCAGTTCATGGATGGAAGAACAAGGGTGTCTCATTTTGGTCCCTGCCAACCCAGGGTGGATGCTGGTTTATAGAGAGCAGGGAGGGGGCCAGGGCCCTCTGCACAGGGACAAAACCTGCAGAAGCTGAGAACAGTCTGAATCACAACCAGTTTAAAATGGCATTCAAACTTGTCACCTTCCTTCCTCTCCCAGGAATCAGCGATTGAGCTCATATTTGCTGCTTTTTTCACCACGGCTAGTGCCAGCACCTCTCTGATCCTCCTGCTACTGAAGCACCCCTCAGTGATTGAAAAAATAAGGCAGGAGCTGATGTCCCATGAGCTGTACCAGCAGTGTGAGCATTGCCCTGCAGGACCCTGCCCAGACACCCTGACCGCTCACAGCAGGGACAGTGAGAAGCCACTTCTCTGCCCCACAGCCAAAGATGCTTGCGAAGACCAGAGCAAGCCCCCGGGCCCAATAGAGGAAGGTTCCCTCCAGCCCCGCACCCTGCCAGAGCCCACCCTCCCCAAGAGCAGTCCCTGCGCTGACCCCCAGCTCCGGGCACCGTCAGGGCAGAGCTGTTGCTGCCCCTCGGACATCAGCCTGGAGAAGCTGAGCCGCCTGCGCTACCTGGACTGTGTGATTAAGGAGGTGCTGCGGGTGCTGCCCCCCGTCTCCGGAGGCTACAGGACGGCGCTGCAGACTTTCGAGCTGGATGTAAGTGCCTCACACGCTGGCGGGCTGCTAGGGAGCTGCTGTCTGCCGCTGCCTGCAAGCACCCTGTGTCAGGCACTGTGGTGGCATTTGGCAGTGTAGCTCAGGGGAAGGCGGCACCCAGCAACCTCCGTGGGTCCCAGCTGTGCTGGGGAGAAAAGGAGCTGTGGAGCGGATGGGCAATGCGGTGGGACTCTCCCCAGGCACCCTCTGCTCACCCTCCTCCACTAGCACAGCTGGCTGCACAGGTATGTAACGCTCCTCTCCTCCCCTCTTCTCTCCCCCCAAGGGCTACCAGATCCCCAAAGGCTGGAGCGTCATGTACAGCATCCGTGACACCCATGAGACGGGTGCTGTCTACCACAGACCCCCCGGAGGCTCTCAACTTTTTTGCCCCCCCGACGGACACGGCAGCCCGCTTCCACTACATCCCCTTCGGTGGCGGGGCGCGGAGCTGCATTGGCAAGCAGCTGGCGCAGGCCATCCTCAAGCTGCTGGCCATCGAGCTGGTCAGCACGGCTCGTTGGGAGCTGGCCACCCCCGGCTACCCCGCCATGCAGACCGTGCCCATCGTGCACCCCGTCGACGATGGGCTACAGCTCTACTTCCACCTCTTGCAGCCCGGCCGTGGCAGCAAGGCCTGAGCCAGGGGGACACTGCCCCCCCCCGCACTGGCCTCGATGCCCCTCCATGGCTGGCG